TCCAACATAGACAACAAGTATTCAGATAATATGGGTAGTGAGAGAATGTAGAGAGAGAAAGGAATGAAGAAATGAGTGATTTCCTCGGCAGCCCTCGCAGGGTATTTATAGGGGCCGAACTTCGGATCTACGCGGGGCGTTCAGCAAGTTACGCGGGGCGTAACTTCGGATAAGGGTGCCAGCTCGCACCAGTTGGCTCGCACTCGCAAGAGGATCAGGTCCGAAGGTACGCTGGGTGTACCAACCTTGGATGCGGGGCGTAGAGTGAAGGCGAGGCGACGTGGCGTTCATCGGATGCGAGACCGTGGGGAGCAAGCAACGGCTAGGATCTTGCCACGTCATCACAGTTTCGCAAATTGCACTCTCGACTTTAAAAATTTGTAACTTTCACATACGAGCTCCGTTTTCGGCGTTCTTTATATCCACACGTAGGCGGGAACGTACTCTACAACTTTCGTTTAGACTTCGTCGGCTAATTTTGACTTTATTTTAAAAGTTATATTTTTAACACGTCGGGGCAGGATTGGTCCGTTAAAAATTCATAACTTCTTCATCCGACGTCCGTTTTCGTCTGTCTTTTTATCGTTGTGCTACTATTAACGAGATCTTCAATTCTCATTTAGGTTATGTCGGCTAAAAACCGCTCGATCTAATATTCGAACTTCGGGTTGTACACTGCTAAGCCGAAACTTCGAAAAATCATAACTTCCTCATACGAAGTCAGATTTGGGCGTTCTTTTTATGGACGCTCTCGGTTTAACGTTTTCTACGACTTTCGTTTAGATCGCTAAGGCTAAAACTCGCTCTATCGTAAATTCACTATTTACGCTTCCCGGTATCGTGCTGGTTCCATCACGAAACCTCGATGGGTCATAACTTCTTCGTTATAACTCGGATTTCGGCGTTCTTTATATCTCCGGAATCCTTGTTTCGACCACTAAAACTTTATGTAAAGATATCGGGCTTATCTCATACTTTAATTTTGACGCTTATTTTTATCCTTTATTTATTATACATTTATAAATAAGTAATAAGCACATAAATGCAAACAGTTCACATAATACTCAAATATTTCATCTTTATTACTTCAAAAGAGTTACAATAGTTGAACTAGACTATTACATCGTCTAAAAATGTTTAGCCCTGAAACACGGGCGTTACACTTTGTCTTGTTCTTTGTTATATGCTTGTTCATCAACGAACTTACTCTCCAAATCTTTAATGCAAGACATATATTCTTCTAGATTTCGTTTCTTGGCATTAACGAAGACAAACATTTGTCAACGGATTCAAACACATCAATAGCAACAACATCAACAACAACAACATTGTCACCATATTTGAATTTCTTACGAAGAATCTCAATTGGTATAATACCTCTTTTCCAACGTCTCAAAACATACTTCTCGGGGATTTAAGTAATTGTGTATTATCTAAACACACAAAAGATATGACGACATAATATGCCAAAATGCTGAAACATCATGCAACAGCAATTAAACTCCTTGTCATTCCTTACCACTTTGACCTGAAAAAATATTAACGTTGAATATATATTATACTTATCTAAAAAATTTATTAAAAAAAACTATTTATTTCAAATACCTTAAACTCTTTGTCATGTAATATATCATCATAATCTTCATCTTCACCATCTTCATCGTCATTATTACCATAACCACGCTCCAAGTTATGGCTAATCTTCTCCTCAACAATACTAAAATAATCGAACTCTTCCTCAATAGATGTAGCTATTTAAAAACATGACACGACCGAAAAGTTTTATTTCCTTTTGAACTAGACGGAAAATTGAGCGGGTATATTGCTTTTACGCATCAACCTCAATAGTCAAAAGTGTAGGCATTCTAGAATACTTCTCATTGTCTTTAAAATCAAATACAATTTATATTTTAATCAATAGACATTTCAAAAGAAATCACAAATTCATTAAATCCATACCAAAATATGTTTGAGTTTGGAAAGGAGCATTAGAACTCTCAGGACATGATGTTGTACGCATTAAACCCGACATAAGTATATCGAGAAAATAAGCAGGAATACAATGTTCTCTCATTCGAAACATTAGAGTGAACCATTTGTTATCGTTCAACTTATATTTATAAATGAACAACTTCCATCATTCTTCAAACTAATCTCAATCAATCTTGGAGTTCCATATAAGAGAACTGAATCTCCGCTTAAAATTCGACTTTGTTGTACAGATCCCAACAAACATACATTCATTTTAAAAATTATATTACACATTATTTATACTTTTATAAATTTTTATTATCTACAACTTCATACTAAAATTAACTTTATTTAGCTATAATCATTAGTAAATTTATACTAGAATTGACATACATTATTATGTAGTTTAGATGTAACATGTCATATACAAAGCCGATGATTAGATTTATCAAAACCTTTTCAAGTGTTTTTTTCATCGCTAAATCTTCGTCTGATAAAACTACCAAATGTTGATTTTTAAAAGAATACATGAAACATTCCAACAACCAAATATAAGATTCATCGTCCTCACGACTCAACAAATCAACACCAAATGTCACACATCTCTTACGATTATCAATACCGGTAAATTGCACAAACACCATATCATAACTGACACATAAACCGACAAAAATGGTTAGAATATTAGTTTAAATAACATAATCTATATAAATTGTAACATATAAATTACCGATTGGTTCGAAAAGTAGCATCAAATGAAACTACATCACCAAACTCTTTGTAATGTAGTTTAGATGTCTCATCCACCCAGAATACAACATCAAGCTTCTTTTCAACAATTTTATACTCAAATGAAAAGTTAGGAACATTCTCAAACTCTTTTTTCATCTTATCGACAATATATTGTGCATCAGAACCACCAACGTGACAATTTAGATAACGAGAAAAATTCTTTAAGTCATTAACATTTCCAACATGGTAAATATATCCTCCATTTAATCCAGCAAACACGCGATGTGCTACTGTCACACCAACATTCTGATTGGACATCTTAAATATAAAAACTTTCTGCATATAATAAAGCTTCCTTTTTGTTCTCGACAAATGCATATTCTGCTTAGAATACAATTTATGATTATTTCTTTCCTCAACATCATATATTTTAAGTTCATTTGAACCGGGGATCATTCTATATTTTATACCAACTTCACACCTATATCGATGCATATCAACCCTCTTTTTGTACATAGAATTAGAATTCCATGTATCAACATCAGATGTGTTGGGATCACCTTAACGATTACAAACAAAATATCTCAGTGTAACAAATCTGTTGCTCTTCTTCTGAGTTGTTTTCCTAACATCAAATCCCCCTTCAACATCATAGTAGGAATTCGTAGCTTTGACGTGATCATGTATGGATATCTTGACCACATTACCGGCCTTATTCCAACATGCACATTTGGTATCCAACAAATATGACCCCCAGGAGACTGATATTGATTACTAATAGATAATTCATCAATGAAAAACTTGCCGACATCATAAAATACGTTTTAATTAAAATTATTATATATATTGTTTATATTCATTAATGAACCAATTCTAATAGGAACTGAAATTCAACATACCTTTTGGAGTTGCGTTAATTCCACGACCACTTATAACATCTTCATGAGCAGTATTAGATTAAGACTATGAATGGTAAATGTCACTCTCATTCATGTTCTTAGCAGCATGCATATTGATATATAAAAAAAAAAACCATCATTTTCAACTTCCACATTATGGTTATTGTTTTCATTATAACGGTTACAACCATCTTCTAAAAACAATATTCGGGGTTGATTAGAGTTAATTCTTTTATGACTACCAACATATGGTTGCAATTCTGCAATATAAAATGAAATTAACGTGATATGAAATGAAATTAACAGTATGCAAAATGATATTTTGTATATATTTTTATAAAAAACATATAAAAAATTGTTTAAATAATTATATATATGGATCGAAAATTAAACAAATTGAAAACAAATCTAAACGATGACCATACTCCATTTAGATGTATGAATGGTTACATCTTCATCCTTCTTCTTCAATGAACAGTTACAGGAATCATGATAACGGACCAGACCACATACACCGCATACAGAGCGCTATGTAGGAGGCCTAGTATTAGCCATCTTCTGTTATTGATTATTACTAATTAAATAATACAAGAACCATATGTAGACGATGAATACGGTTGAAGATGATGAACACTACAATACCATATCAGATAACAAATCATACGGGATTTATATATGATTTGCATGATTTAATGGATTCGATTTAATCTTACCTTTATTAGTTTTGTCAAATGACTAATCTACCCCTTGACTGAAATCAATCAACGTAATTGGACGTAGGGGCGAAGCTTGAACATTTAGTTTGGACTTGTGGGGGGAATATAATTTGTATGAAAATAGGAGAGCAGAGGGGGTCACAACATAAATTTTATAATTTTAAGCTTAATATGTATAAAAATTAAAGGTTAGAGACTATTTCTAGCAAAAAAATTAGGGGGCCATAACCCCTCTTAGCCCTAATAAAGCTTCGTCCATTATTGGACGGATGGATAAATCAAATATTGATCTAATTTGACAAAACTATTTCTTATATTTACATATTAAAACTAGTTTATATATTATAATATATATTATATATATATATATATATATATATATATATATATATATATATATGGAGAAATACAATCTTACATTATACATTGAAAGTATATTCATAACAGAGACATTACAAGTATGTTTTCATTTATATAACGAAGTAGACATTAAGATAAACTAAAACAGAAATTCGACAATGATGTAATGGATTTTGGGTCCCATTAACACTTTCTATCAAATCTGAAAATTTCCCGAGATTGAACTATACGAATTAATTTCATTTTTGAAATTTAAAAATCGATGTTTATGTTTATATATATAGACGCTGCTCATTGTATTGTTATTTTTCAGATATTCACAATGGGAGAAAGCTCATCGTCACCACGAGGGAGAAACTTGAGTGATTTCATTGATCATAATGCCTCATTTTCTTCCTCCTCTTCAGTAATGAAGCTGTTTGGTGTCGCCGTCACTGATGGCGGCATAGCTCCGGCGACAGAACAACCAGACGGTGACAGCAAAAGATTCGAGTGCCAATATTGCAAAAGAGACTTCGCCAATTCTCAAGCATTAGGTGGCCATCAGAATGCACACAAGAAAGAACGGCAAAGATTAAAAAGGGTGCATTTCATGAGTAACCATCACCGGCGTTTTGCAGCGCCGGTGACCATTATTAATGCACATGCAGCAAGATCTGGACATTTCCAGCAACCGCAGATGGCGGTGGTGGATCACTATATATGTCCTTCGTCACCACCACAGGTACTGTCGGGTGTTCCTCTAAGATTTCCTAGCAGGTTTTACATCGGACGACCACCGCATCTCAGCCTTACCACTGCCGGAGTGAGTTCAAATTCGTCAAGGATGATCGAAGCAGCAGATGATAACGGTGATGGTGTTGACGTTGATCTGCATCTTTGATGGTTCCAGCTGCGGAGCTGCCAATAACTTTTATTTTTTTATTTTTTGTTTCTAAATTCTAATTCATTTTGGGTCATAATCTAATTTTGTTTCCATGTTTTGGTATTAGTTTCTGCAGTTATTATTATATCTCTTATATTAAATATTAAGTCAAGCATATGCTGTGTTCTTTTTTCTCAATTCTGACTTAAATATTGCTACGTAATCTCTCCGAAGTTGGGATAAAGAGCTAAACCCTAGCGAGGTTTTGATAACAATTATTATTTTTATTTTTTCTAATTTTTTAGTGTATATAATTACAAATAAAAAAAATAACCTGTAATGCTAACATAGTTCTCGTTTTATACACATTTAGTCATTATTGTTATTTTTCTTGTAAAATAAGCATTTTAACTTGTATATTCGGTCCTTATAACCGGCTACTCCAGGTTAAGTTCTTAGTTCGTACA